TGAATGGATATCTAACAGGGGATGGCCCCAGGGGAACAGCAGTGACTAGGCCCCAAGCCTGGCTTTCAAAGGATGAAACAATGAGAGAATCAGGTAAGGAACCATTTAACATGCAGAGTAAAAGAACCCTAGCACAGGTGTCACAGTCTTAAAGGAACACAAACAAGACACACTGGAAAAACGCACTCTAATGCATCAGAGACAAGTTGGTTCCAGAAACCCTTCCAAGTGGAGCCGAACAAACCCTCGAGGAAGGGAATGTGCCTCACTGGGAAGCTGGAGAGGCACCGGGAACTCAACAGTGGAAAGATCTTCCACATTTAATATAATGTTGAAAGAACATTTTGTGGGGTTGTGTAGTGTTTAATTTTTTTAGCCCTTCGCAAGATACAGAAGCATCCTTTCTGATTGCTGGGTGCTGCTTGAGGGTACAGAATCTTAAAAATGGTGCTACAGTAAAGAAAAAAATGTAGATACACATCCTGAGTAATCATCTTTTAGCAAACATCTATTTTCACAATATGCTATAAAGTCCCTAAAACTTTTAGATTAACACAATCTTAATCCGCAATGTTTTTTTCTTGGAGCAACTGATTCAATGTGTTTTCTGAGATCAACTGGATATATGGATAAAAAAATGGAGTGAGAGAGAGAGACTTCTGGACCTGCTAGGACTATCCTTCCGTTTGTAAGATGTTAGATTACTCTATTAGTCTCTTGTGAATTTTCTATTGTTATAGTCTGCTATTCTGAGTTTTTAACTTGTATTATTTTATGTGTATCCTTTAATATTTAATTTTTATACATTTAGCATTAACACATTTTATAATTAGTATTCTCTGTTACTTTGGCTTTCTGTAAGTTTTAGAGAGTTACTTACATTATTAAAGCACGCTGTTAACAAAACTCTCTGAAAATGTAAAATGGCCAGACATTGCTCTGAGGCTTTCCAAGTCAGACTGCCTGGGAGTTGTTCACTTTTTCTTTCTTCCGAAAATGTGAAATTAATTCTGAGAGTTGTTTAATCCTAATTTGGGGGTTTGCCTTCATTCTCTCCCCCTCCCTCATTACTTACCTTCTTTAGTTCTTCCTGCCTCCCCTCCCCTCCTTTTCTCTTGCTCCTTCCTATTTTAAGTAGAGCCCCTACCCAAATGTCTATTTATAAATTCCCTGACCTCTTGATGAACTGGGGCAATGATGCATCCAGGACCCGATTTCCATCCCCATGCTCGCACTCACTGTCTCTTGATTCAGGAGTCCCTTCTTTCCACTCCTCTCTTCATGTAGAAATCTAGTTACCCTAAAAAGACATCTGAAGATGTATCTTCTCTACAGGATCTTTTGAATTCCTTCCACCAAATCATCCTTCCTCATTTGAATATGTATCACATTTTGCCTACCTTGGTTTTTACCTTGGTCATTAATTTACTTAACTCTTCCAATAGATGCAAAGGGACTAAGAGAAGAGAGGGTATCGTTAAAAAAAATTCTTTAAGTTCTGCAGCCCCTTTGTAAAGGATCCTGTACCTGGTCAGTGCCCATGAGATACTTGCTGGTCTGGTTACACAAATAAAATTAAAAATCAGTTATCATCCAGAAAATTCACCGTTAAGGCTTCATGGACCCCCCAGCTTGGTCTTTCAGTCTTCAAGATTCTATCATCTAGTTCACTGGCATTCCTGGAATCTCTGAAATTGGTGAAATAATGTTCACAGCAGCAGCTTGGGGCCAAAACACCACAATGCAGAATGGTTTGATTCTTAATGGCACCAAATTCAGTCCCTAAATATCCAGACTCCTTTCTTCATGACACAAGACAGGAGGCCTGTCTGGAACCCCAGTGGATATTCACCTGGGTGGACTGAGGGCAATTCCTGGAAGAGTTCATTTACGGACAAAATCTGGGCAAAATAGCGGTAAGCAAGGACACAACTGAGTGGTTAACATTTTTATTTCAAAAACCAGTATACTGTATATGACACTTTCTGAGAAAACAATTAAGATGGTATAATTAAATGAATTCCATGTTTTTTAAACACAATAAGGATAGAATCCTTTACATGTGAGTTTATTCAAACCTTATTTAAACAGAATGCACTCTAATTGAGAGATTTAAGGGGTGATTTCTGTGCACAAAATAAAAGCTCCTTTGCAGGTTTTTGTTATTTATTTATTTATTTAAATTTTACATCCTCAACATATATTACAAGAGCTGAATATTTTAATTTAGAATATATGTACTGTATTTGAATAGCTCTTTGGGGAATTATTTTTGCCAAGAAAGGTACATTTTCCTTTTTACAGCCAATTAACAACAAATTAACTTTGCCACAAAAAGGAATGGGACCATTTAAAAAATGCTGTCTCATTCAAGTAGAATACAGTCTGAGATTCAAAATAGATTCTTCCTGGAAAATTACAATGGCTTCCCATCCCCCTAAATAAGGAAAAAAGAACAAAATGTGAAAAAAATATACACCATCCATTAAGTCTCACTGGATTTAAATTTTGCCTACAGCAGAATACCTGAAATATCTGAGTCTTTTGCTTTATTCTGGCCATAATAACATAACCTGTTTAAAAATAATATTTTTTAAAAATTCTATATTTTCTTCACTTTCTACAAGATATCTTCTTCCACAATAAATTGAGCAGCACTCAGCATCAGACACACATGGCATACACATGTAAGTAGAGAAATACATTTACATCCTTTAAAATTCCTAGTTCTACACAGACATTGTCCTTCCTGTTAGAAGCATGGCTATTCAGGCCTGTTCTGGAATCCCTATTTATCTACTCAGTGTACAGCAATATTTAGAAAAGTGCATATCTCTTTTTTCCCTTTTCCTCTGACCCTGCAATCCCAGTTTAATTTTCACTTAAGAGCTCCATCCACTTAAAGCCTTACACAGCCATGTCTACTGTATTTAAAAGACATTGACCCAACACGCAAACACTCACCCACACACATACAAGAACAGTTTCCATCTTACAAAGCTAACATTCATTATTTAATATTTCTATATACCATAGAGCTTTCAGTTTGGAATTTTTCTTAAAATATACATTCTTCACGTGAACCTGTCAGAAAAATGGGAAGAAAATCTTCTCTGATTTCCAAACCATCGAAGGAGGTTTATAAAAACTACTTTCCACACCCCAGGAGTAGTGCACTCGAAGGGCAAGCACGTCAGTATCTTTAGAAAATGAGCTGGGGAAAGTAACGTTTGATTCCTCGTTGAACAGGTATGATGGGTACGCATGAATCCTACCGACTAAAAATGTAACTACGATGATCACTAATTATAGATATATAGCTACACCGAAGGAGAGCTGCATCCTATGATTTCAATCACCAGAGTCCCACAGGCCGGTTGCTTGATTTCTCTCATCCCACTGTCTATTCAACAGCTTTACACCGCACAGATTGTTAAGAATGATTCACAAACTGTTGCTGCCTTCAAACTATATACTATAAAAGGTAGCCAAGAAATAATTATATGTTGTACCAAACACAAAATAAATCGTGGCTTCAGAATATGTTTTCGATACAAAGCCTGCCTGCCCATTGTAGAAAATGTTGTCGATTTATGTGAAAATATTTATTACCTGTAACCATAGATACACAAAATCAATGTGTGTGTTGTGAAACATTACGGCAGTAATGCATTTGTTACTGTGTTGAGATTTCTTTTGGTCTAGATTACTGTTCCGCCAAATAACTTTTTTTTTTTATCATACTAGGGCAAGTGATTGCTGTGCAACATTTGCATTTGTAATGATAATTTTCCTGAGAATGCTAAATTATATCTTAATTTATTCAAAAGCTTTTATTTTCAAAGCAATTAAACTTATTGTTGATTGATATTTACCATCCAGTGTTCCTGGAACACTAAAAGAATATGCTTTCTACATAATCTTCCGTTACAGCACATTGCTTGAGAGTAGCTATTTGATAGAACAGCATTCAGTTGAGTTTTCAAACCAAAGAACAAAAATTATAGCAATTTCACTTGAAATCCATAGATCCATGCACAGGATTATGTTCAACAGAATCACTCAATGCTATTTGTTACTCAAAGATGAATGAATCAGTAGGAAAACAGAACTGATAAATCGTTACTACTTTAGTGCAGAGTGGAGAGAGAAGCCAATAAATCATGCATGTCAAGCACTAGTTTTCCTCATGGCATGTTTGAAAACATAAAACATGCAATGATGGGATGCAGGTCAATATGAATGAACGATACCCAAACTGCTCAGAATAGCATTTCATTTTATATCATAAACTTAATGAAACACTTAAAAAAATACTATTCCATAATTTCTTCAGTCAGAGAATCCAACCATGTCATGAAAACTGAACGATCGAGGCTGTTATTTCCAAGTAAATACTTGAAATGTCACAGAGATGGGAATGGAGTAGGTGAGGGGAGGGTGCTAATTGCATGCATGGTAGCCTTCAATGAGCTCACTATTATTACAGGTATCAACTTATACTAGAAAGGAACTGGTACGATCATTTACTTTCTCAAGTGTACTTAACTGAGCCATTAAAAATTACAGACCCATATTTATAATTGACCAAAAAAAAAAAAGCAAGAAATCAGCTACTGAGCTTTGATTGTATTGTATGGCTTCTTGTCTGTGAAAGGTGAGAATTTTAATTATAATTAATGTTTCTTCACTAGAGTTTTAGTCATCACAAAATTAATCATGAGAATCATAAATTTTCTCCACAAAGCTTAATTAATTATGCATTAATGCATTTCTCTCAAGCATCTTTTTCTGAATCTTTGGTGGGAAACACAGCTTATTAGGCACATAGTTTCAAACATCTATTTGGTTACTGTTGCGATTATGAATTTTCTCCTAGATTCACATGCAGAAGGGAATAAGGCTTGTCATAGTCACTCACTTCACCACCAAGTAGCAGGTTTTCACTCATGTCTGGAATTAGCAAGAC